CGCGATGAACGCCAAACCTGCAGTTTTGGTCCAAAGTAAGTCGATGCGCTATTCAGGGGTATACTCTTTAAATAGAACAACCAAAATAAAACATTTTCGGAGAAGGTCTAAGAATCGGTGGTATACGGCAAACGGCTATTTTGATTCTTCTCTCTGGAAATTAAATGAGGCATACGTACCAGCCGTGGTGTAGACCACGGATGGCTCCCCCACGGGAGGAGGTTGCCACGCCTGGCACAGAGGACGGACCTGTGCGCCGCCGCCCGCCCAGCCCTCACGGACCGTGCAGCGGTCCAGCTCGGCCGCGCTCACAGGTCCCGGCGCACTGCTGCACGGTGCGGTCGCCGCAAAGAGGGTGGTGGAGCCGGCGTCGTCGGTGACGGCCAAGTACACGTCGCGCAAGAAGAAAAGGGGTGGGTTGAGCGCGGCGAGTCGAGTGAGAAATGCGGACACCACGTCACCTGCGAAGCAATCTAAGAATCCTGGCTAGTAGTTGGGTTGTACTGACGTCAATAGGGCCCAATCCCAATCGCGTCTGATCCCAGACGTCGCGTCCCACCAGCAATGTCCTCTACGGAGTGTCGTGTTCGAAATGTCTTATCACCTAATAAGGCCCGTTTTCTTTATGTTTTATTCACATAGCGTTGTCTTAGCAGATAGAGCGTTGTAAAAACGATTCTTTGTAGAGAGGACATTTTGAAAACGACACTCCATGGATAGAACGATTGAACCTATTTCGAATCAGCCCCTATTCGAGCCCCCGTTCGACTTCAAATGATCTACGATCTGTTGCCAGGTCACTTGGGTGCGCTAGGTGGGCCGCCGTCTTTACGCAGCAGCTTCGCGGGTTGGCCTACCCAGCGCATAGCACACGGTAAAAATACCGCCTCAGGTTTTAAGAAATTTTCTCAAAAAACAAGGAAAAATCCCATGTTTTTTGAGGAGAGAGGACCTTCCCTCAAATCAACGTAGTTCCTCAAAGTTTTCCCCTTTTCCTTAAAATAAAATGAGACATCGCTTCTACCTTGCAGGTGTTATCATCGTTGCTCTGTGAAACGCTCAGTGTGGGGACAGCTTAAGGGGACCCAGGTTGAACTGACCATCTCAGGTCTCTATAGGTAAAGATTTATTTGGAGGAGAAAATAAAGCACTTAATTAGAAAAACTAAAGAAAAAACAACTTTGTAACTCAAATCGTTTCTGAGTAATGGTGGGTCTAAATATTTTGTGGACATTCTCCTCAAAAACTCTATGCGCTCCAAATTGTGTGCCGTCGAGTTCGGGGGAGTGAAATTTATGAACAAGCCTAAAACACAACTTAAAATGAACGCTTTTTTAAATTTCAAAATCTTTCTGTAGTATAAACATTTCTCTATTTTAATGATCAAAACTTTCCTATTTTTGGACCATTTTTTGAGATGGGCTCACTTGGTCGACGCACAACTGTTCTA